TTGTGCAGCCAATGATGATTGACTTTATACATGAGAAAGTTCAGACGCCTGGTGGATCCCATAGGCTCACTGTGTGAGTCAAAAATAATACCATAATTGTGATCTACTCTAAAATTCCTTCAATTTGAGTATAATATAGTCATTCTTCTAAGAGATCAGAAAATTATTGCGAAATCCCACATTAGGCAGCCATTTTGAATTTTACGAGGCATCTGGAGGTCAGGGTGAAAAACACGGAATATATGTGAAAAGATAGATGTGGTAAATATACTACCAAAATTTCAAATAATAATATTTATTACTTTGGTTTAAAATGAAAAAAAAAAGATTTTTGCGAAAAAATCCTGCCATTTTTAAAGTGGTTGTCATCTTGAAAAAAAACTAGTGTAAAAAAAACTAGCGTAAAACTATTCACCAATATACATCTTTCTACCATAATATGAAGAAAATCAGTCAACCAGTGTTCGAGTTATCTTCCTGACGGACAGACAGATGGACTGACTGACTGATGGACAGATGGAGGGCTTCACTATATCCCTACCAAACTTCGTTCGTTGGGATAATGAGCACTAGAACAGAGAACCATGGAATCCTACCAGAATACAAGATCAGATGGCCACACAAAAGGTGAGTAAATTTGAAGTGTTTTTCTGCAATTACAATGCAGGGGCGTCAGAAGGATTTGCGACTTTTTGGTATGGATGGGTCGTAAGTGAAGCTCACTGCAATCTAAGGGGATTGGGGGTATGCCCCCAGAAAACGTCCCCAACGGCCTACCCCTTCTGACGCCAATACAATGACATTAAAATTGAATCACAGTAACAATAATGCTGCTATCATGACACCACTTATATGTCCTACAAGTTGTGACAACAGACTTAAAGACCGTGGTCGAGTACTTTGATAGGCTAATAGGAATAAAACATTTATGCACTACATAATCTATAAAAAATAAATGATGATAAAGTATCGTTAAAACTAAAGCCTCCATGATATGAAGAAAGATTGTTTATTCACATAATTAATGAAGACCTTTTACAGAACAGTTAAAAAAGTTTATTAAAGTCACACACATATTATACAATTAAAGCAGATATGAAATGGTATTTTTAATCTATAGGAATCAATATCATTTTTTGATAAATGTATTTGGACATGTTTTCTCATCAGTAGTGTGAAAATTATTTCACTCTAACGATCGTTATAGCTGCTTAATAAGCAAAATTCGAAGAAGTCATTTAAATTAAATGTTGATATATTAAAGGTGTTTACCAAAGCAGCAGGTTGGACATCCAAATGTCCATAGATGCAGACAGTTTTCTTCTTGGGGTCTTTGCCCAGGTCTCCTATCAGGATAGGTGGCAGGTCAATCTCACCCCCTTCAGGCAATTTTTGCTTTCCAGCATCTACCAGTTCACATGTTGCACCCAATCTTTCCAAATCCTGAAAAACATTGTCAATTAGTTTTGTTATAATTTCATGGTAGATGTACTTTTTATTTCAATTTACAATTAAGGCATTGTATCAGAAGGTACTTTTTTCCAATTGGAGACACAAGTATTCAATCCCGCCCTTGAATATGCCTTATGGTATATGCTTTCATAGTTCCATAAAATGTGGAGATCTTGGCTGTGGTATTTTATGGAAACATACCATCAATTTTTGGTATCCTTTAATGAGGATACACAAAGATGCAGTATCACTGGGTTGCCCCATTGGTACAAATCCCAATGGTCTGAATTCCAATGGTCCCAATCTCATTGGTCCAAATCCAAATCGTCCAAATTAATATGGTCCGAATCCCAATTGTCCAAATCCCATTTATCTAAATCCCAATCGTCCGAATCCCGCCTTGTAATGCTTGTAATATCAAGATAAAGATGCAAAAATGTGTGAACGTGCTGCCACTTTAAATAAATCAACATCAGAACTGAACCTTTAAACATAAAGAGAGCAACATTATTTGCATAGATTTGGTCAACAGAATTGAATAAAGGTTTTAGATACAGTGAGACCAATGGGATTCGGACAACTGGGATTCGAAACATTGAGATTCGGACAATTGGGATTTGGACCAATAAGATTCGGACGATTGGGATTCGGACCAATGCTGTGTCATCAAATGAGCAACTTGCATTTTTTGCTTGGTGACAATTTATATCTGATATATCAGCCATTTGGCATATTTTATATCCTTTTTGGCCTAGTTCCCTGATACAGCTGTATTCCCATTTCCCAGGCACTGCAATTTAAATGTCTCTGATATTTCCGGCTTTTAGAAACTCTGGGTATTAGGGATTTCAATTAACAGTGACAAATTGTGGTTTTATGATACAACTTAATGACACAGGTATAACAAAATAATGAATGGGTGCATTAAGTAATCAGATCTATAAAAGAGCATTGTTGCAGGGATCTACAACTATATAACGCAACTCGTCTCAATTGTTTGACTGGTAAGTAGCTACAATGAATGGGTTGTTTCATATTCTCAGTTGTTACAGCTTATTTCTGTGTTTCTCAAATGATCTCAGATCATTAATATTACAATTAGTCTTATCCTCATCTTGGACTTCAATGACATTAGGTAATGACATTTTCACTGATGAAATCAAATCCTCCCAATGGAGTGAGATTGCTTATCTCATCTTGGACTTCAATGACATTAGGTAATGCCATTTTCACTGATGAAATCAAATCCTCCCGATGTAGTGGAATTGCTTATCTCATCTTGGACTTCAATGACATTAGGTAATGAGATTTTCACTGATGAAATCAAATCCTCCACATGGAGTGAGATTGCTTATCTCATCTTGGACTTCAATGACATTAGGTAATGACATTTTCAGTGATGAAATCAAATCCTCCCAATGTAGTGAGATTGCTTATCTCATCTTGGACTTCAATGACATTAGGTAATGACATTTTCAGTGATGAAATCAAATCCTCCCAATATAGTGAGATTGCTTATCTCATCTTGGACTTCAATGACATTAGGTAATGATATTTTCACTAATGAAATCAAATCCTCCCAATATAGTGAGATTGCTTATCTCATCGTGGACTTCAATGACATTAGGCAATGACATTTTCAGTGATGAAATCAAATCCTCCCAATATAGTGAGATTGCTTATCTCATCGTGGACTTCAATGACATTAGGCAATGACATTTTCAGTGATGAAATCAAACCCTCCCAATATAGTGAGATTGCTTATCTCAGAAATATTTTTGCTTTCCAATCAGCAGGCATGTAAGTAAATAAAAGTAGCCAAACAATAAACATAATTTCCTGACACAATCACATCTAAAATCCAATGACCAGATTACCAAAATAAAACTAATATTCTATAAAAGCAAAATGGTGGTTTTATTTCCTGTTTTCGTTCTACCTTGATTGCTATTTCTCATTAATATATTGGACACAAAATTCCAAATGGCCAAGAGAAATGTTAATAAAAATTGATATTAGGATACATGTATATTTTCCCATTTTCCTATGCTGATATTTATCTTTCTATCTTTCTATCTAACAATGCAACTTTTGATTAGAAAGAAGATGTCATGACTTACCAGGATGCAGGATAGTGGCAACAATTCCAACAATTACATTATGTTAAAGTAATAATATTGAGGGTGGAAAGCTATGCATTCATATAATAAAACAAATATTTTGTACATTAATTTTTTACACTATTTTTGGTATTTTGGACCAAAGATGGTGAAAATTACTTGCAAGTTACCAGAACTTAAACTTGTCAACAACAAACAATATAAGTGATATCCAATTCCTTGCTTCAAGATAACATATGTTGCTATGAGGAAACATAAGAAACCAATGTATAAAGGAGATGCATCACATGGAACTTTACAATAAATTTTCTTTGTTAAAATTAAATGAATATTTAAGAATGTTCTTCCTTCTTTGCTTGGCGATACCTGTTGCACTTTTGCCACTTTCATGAATTAAATAATACTAAATGAAATGTTTGTATAATATGACCTCTGTGCGTCCTATTCATGGCATTTATGAGTTTTCTGGATGCTTTATCCCTCTTTCTCAAAGATAATTCCACATGGATTTAAATATAAACAAGACTTTCATCAACGTTATATATCATGAAATAACATCCGGAAATAAGATCACTATCACCTTGTTGTTAGGAGACTAATGCAACGTTTTTATACGATTTATGGAAATGAAATAATTTTCCCTGGCTTTGTGATGTAATTGGAATATAATTGAATCCTTTGTGCATTAGCTGTTATAACCTTTTATATCTACATTCATTGCTTTTTGTGTAAACAACATTGATAATATATTTGTTTTTTATAAGTGATAGCTTTTGCCATACAATTAAAACAACAACTTGTTTGAATTATACATGAACCTTTTTTGTGATCTGATGATATCATAGATCAATTTTAGATCTTGATCAAAATAAAAAAAATAAAGGTTGGAAAAATGTCACAAAAAACATCCCACGAAGGTAGATAGCTATTATAAAACATAATAAATAATTAAAAAAGTTTTTTACATTTATCGTGACAATCTGCAAGGATACTAACAGAGGTAAAAGCTATTTATTCATTAATAGCTATTCATGCATATGAGATGGTTAAATCACCATGGAGATTAAAGCGAGATGCTGGGAATTATTTGCGTAATGCAACTTCACCGACGATATATATTACATGATACAAGAAATTTTTATTCATCCTACTTTATTATTTGATGAGCGTCTTTTCACAGTAAGTATTGATGAGAGGAATGTAAAAGTAAAATGTTAAGTTTAATATTTATTAAGAGTAATTACATCAATAAAAAAAGTCAGAAAATATAACATGACATTTTTTAATTTAATTTTTTAATTTTTCCTCGAGAAAATTTTTCTATCAAGAAAGCAAGAACATGTGAAAAAAATTAACAAACATAGCGGCACAAAAAACCATGGCACAAAATGTTGGGTGTAAAAAATAAAATTATGCGTTCATTTCAGCAGATGAAAGATTATATATGGAATCTGAAGCAGCGGTTTATCGGATGATTGCAAAAGAAAAACAAATTGTATTGAACTTTCCTGTATAAATTACTGAAGTTTCCATATAAGGATCTCATAAAGACATCCAGATCAAACCAGTGGAAATCACAAATTACAAGATAAAAAATATTTCAGTGCAGTAAAAATATATTACAACATTATATTACAACACGAGACGCTGAAGCCTCCATAAGAGTATTCAAGATCTACAAAAGCCACTGCAAGGTCTATAAATCACAAAATAAATTCTCTTCAAAGAACATATTAAATCAATGATAAAAAAGAGAACATTCTACATAGGACATACTCCAAAATCTGCAAAAGGCAATTCTACAGGACATATTAAGAGGACCATAGTAGACAAACGCACAGGACAAGTCCAGAAAGTCAACTGGCACTGATCATCTTAACATGAGGAATAGAATATTATCAATTTGAGATTAATAAAAAAATTGATAAGAACATTTGAACTTTTCTGTAAGGAAGAGAAGTTACACATAATATACTATAATAAACATAACATAATAAACTCAAAACAACACATTGCCAACTTCAACTAACATACTGACGGTTCAAATTTAGCACTGATAATTCCACATGAGCCATGTCATTAGACAGTTGGCAGAAAAAAGGAGGTGGAGAGAATATCACAGCAACTGTTGATAGAAATTTAACCATCACCTTCCCAACTCCACTAAATAAAAGTCTTTGTAACATCAATAAAAATATTGATGCAGGAGTTCGATATGGCAGTTCAAGCAGTCCTACAACAGTAGAGATATGGACAACTTGTGGCATCATAATCCTCATTATTGGAACTTTGGGAAATGTGTTCACTATTGTCGTGCTGTCAAGGAAGAACATGCGTAAGAAGACAACAGCGATGTTTCTGACATACCTAGCCTGTGTGGACACATTAGCTCTTTGGGTTGGCTTGTTTCCAAACTGGCTGGCAAAGAGTTCAGTGTCTCTTGATATTGTCTCTGATGTGGGATGTAAACTCCTTGCATTTTTAGCGTACACACCTGTGCAACTGTCAGCGTGGATACTAGTAATGGTGTCAAACGAGAGAGTGATTGCAGTGTACTTACCAACAAAAGTAAATCAAATATGCGCAAAACGCATGGCCGTATGTACACTAGCAGTAATCACCTTCTTCATATGTGCCATAAATCTTCATATGTTTTGGGTGAATGGTGTAGTTGATGTACGAACCAGTAAATGTGGAGTGTCCAAGTCTGAATGTGGAGTGCTTAAAGAGTATTTGTATGTATGGGAGGTACATTTGCGCTGGCTAGATGCGACCATAGCTTCTATTTTACCATTCATCATCATGCTTATTGCGAACTGTATGATAATTGGCAAAATTGTGCTTCATCACACAAACCAAAGTAAAAACAAGGCTAAGGTCACATCTATGACAATTATGCTATTGGTGTGCAACTTTGCTTTCATAATACTTACATTACCTATTGTCCTATTAGAAATTTTCAAATCGCAATGGTATCAACACTTTAAAGATGAAAAACATGACAATTTCTTCAAAGAGAGAGAAGATTTGGAACTACACTCGACTGTCTGTCAGATGTTTCAATATCTGAATCACGCTATCAACTTCATCATGTACTGTTTTGCGGGACCTGCATTCAGGCGTGAACTATTATGCATGATGAAAGAAAACCGTTATTTGAGGAAGATTGCATGTTGTGAAAATGTGAACCGAGTTGGTGAGCCAAGTAGCAATGTTACCCAGAGTACAACTGGGAATGGAACCTTTGCACGAGGGACACTCACACCAGTCGCATAGTACTAGAGAATTGTGAAGAATGTCTCTGAACACAAGATTTTAAGCTTTGATTAACATGAACACATATATTCTAGAACTTATAAAGTATGTATAGATACAGGCCCGTAGCCAGGGGGGGGGGGTTCGATGGGTTCAAAAATTATTTCAAAATCATGCAGTGTTTCACCTTTCTGAGCACTTTTTATTTGATTTTGGCCATTTTTGGACCAGAATTGTCACAAGTGAACCCCCCTGGAATTTTTCAAAAAATGAACCCCCCTTGGCAAATCCTGGCTACAGGCCTGAGATATCAATATAAAGTAATAATTACATGTAAGAGGAAAATCTGTCACAAATGACCATTGAAAAGGAAATGTTCAGAATCTTTAGAATCTATTTCACTGTGATAAGTGAATGGCCTTAATACTGATGAATGGCCTCATCACTCAATAGCTACTATTCAACAGCAGTGACAAGTTGTATATCATTAAGATTGTGATATATGAATCATAAAGCTTTTTGCTAGATTATATTTCAACATTTTTAAACAATTTAAATCTAATTTAATTAATTAATTAATGTTTAACTGAATTTTTTTAAAATTAATTAAACGTCTTTATGATTTTAAGATGAGTCTTCATTGTTATCAACAGTTAAGATGTGAATTGTTTTTAGTACTGTTTTGTTTTTGTCCCAATTTTTAAATGTGAAATAAAAATGTCGTCGATGATATTGGGATTATCTCTGGACTAATATAATCAAGCCATTGGACCCACAACCCTTATATTGGCTTCAAGATAATTCCAATATCCTGAACCTCATATAGGATAATCTCAAAAGATTTTCAAAAGCTGGCAAGATATAGCTTTACATTCAATTGAGTAGCCATAAATCAGCCTTAAAAACTTTTTTGACTAAAAAGAAAGTTTCATGAGGAAATCGAAAATCTTATGAAAAATATGTATATACAAGCTTCAGAACTCTATGTTTTGCAGAAACCTGTCTGAATTAAAGCAAAAAATGCCAACTGAAAATGTATATATAGAGAACATGTTATGGGAGTATAAGATAAATAAAACAATTTAATGTAGATCAGAATATTGGGATTAACCTTTGGCAAATATATTACATCTGTTCTCGATTTATCTTGCCCTTAGGCAGATTATATTATATTTGCCTACAGATAATCCACATAATTTGAACTTCATATATTATTTTTATCTTTAAATTATGTTCAGATGTGCATGTATATTACGCAGAACTTTAATATTTAATTTGTTTTTGCTCTATTATAAAAGTCATACTATAAATATCACCAAACAAATAAAATGGTATAATTAAACAGCTCTGAGTATTGTTCAATATTTACATTGGCAATAATATGGTATGTAGATATAATCTAATGAATTCAGCTGATAAGTTATTTTCTTTTTTTATTACCAAGTAAAAGCGTAACAGATTTCCATTATCAGTTTGTTGATTCACTCTCTGACATTCCTATTCAATTATCTTGAATAATTAAACATCAGCAGAAAAGTTAATCCTGTACAATAAGTCAGCTTTAAGATATCTTTCAGGGGCGTAACTAGGATCTGAAAACAGGCAAGATGATGAATAGGTGAGGCAAAAAACTTCAGCTAAAAAAGATATCACACTTCTAAGTTGCTAAACCCATGTCTTTTTCAGGAATCGTTTGTTTTGGTTTGGGATGATTGTGAGAAAATCAAAGATAGAACTTGGCATTTTTAAACAAGGCATTAACATGACAAAATGTCACCACCTAAAACAATTTGGTCAATTTAAAGCAAGTTGAAAAAATACCTCTTTGACTTTTTTTGACATTGAGAAGGTCATTGAAGGTCAAATGTCAAATGTAAAGTCAGATTTGAACTTCTGAGAACATGTAGATGATTTTGAAAAAAAAATTAAGTAAATTTGAAGCAAGTTGAAAAAAGACCTTTTTGACCTTGAAAAGGTCATTGAAGGTCAAATGTCAAATCTAAAGTCAGATTTGAACTTCTGAGAACATGTAGATGATTTTGAAAAAAAATTAGTCAATTTGAAGCAAGTTGAAAAAAGACCTTTTTGACCTTGAGAAGGTCATTGAAGGTCAAAGGTCAAATCTAAAGTCAGATTTGAACTTCTGAGAACTTGTAAAGTCAAATTTGAACTTCTGAAAAGATGTAGATGATTTTGAAAAAAACATTTGGTCAATTTGAAGCAAGTTGAAAACAGACCTTTTTGACCTTTTTTGACCTTGAGAAGGTCATTAAAGGTCAAATGTCAAATCTAAAGTCATATTTGAATTTCTGAGAACATGTAGATGATTTTGAAAAAAGAATTTAGTCAATTTGAAGCAAGATGAAAAAATACCTTATGGACCTTTTTTGACATTGAGAAGGTCATTGAAGGTCAAATGTCAAATCTAAAGTCAGATTTGAATTTCTGAGAACATGTAGATCTTTTGAAAAAAAAATGTAGTCAATTTGAAGCAAGTTGAAAAAAGACCTTTTTGACCTTTTTTGAAAAGGTCATTGAAGGTCAAATGTCAAATCTTAAGTCAAATCTAAAGTCAGATTTGAATTTCTGAGAACACGTAGATGATTTTGAAAAATTTTTTTAGTCAATTTGAAGCAAGTTGAAAACAGACCTTTTTGACCTTGAGAAGGTCATTGAAGGTCAAATGTCAAATCTTAAGTCAAATCTTAAGACAGATTTGAATTTCTGAGAACACGTAGATGACTTTGAAAAAAAATTTAGTCAATTTGAAGCAAGTTGAAAACAGACCTTTTTGACCTTTTTTGACCTTGAGAAGGTCATTGAAGGTCAAATGTCAAATCTAAAGTCAGATTTGAAGGTCAAATGTCAAATCTAAAGTCAAATCTAAAGTCAGATTTGAATTTCTGAGAACATGTAGATGATTTTGAAAAAAAATTTAGTCAATGTGAAGCAAGTTGAAAAAATACCTTTTTGACCTTGAGAAGGTCATTGAAGGTCAAATGTCAAATCTAAAGTCAGATTTGAACTTCTGAGAACATGCAGATGATTTAGAAAAAAATTGAAGTCAATCTAAACAGTATTTGTTAAGTTATAGGAAGTTGTAAGAAATTGTTACAGACGCCGGACGCCGGACGCCAACCACCAACCGCCGTCGCAAAAAAACGGAGACCATAACAATATGTCACCACTTTTGGTGGTGACATAACAATTGAGAGATCTATAGCCAATGCGATATAGAAACTGAATCAAAGCTTTTCTAAGCTATTAAGTTGAACTGTTTACTTTCTAGCATACCATTTTTTATAGTTATTAAAATGGTATTCTCCATTAGCTAACACTTATGACTCAGGCATCCTATTAATTGTATCAATATTATTATCATTTATTAGGAGGCCATCCATTTTTTTCTCCAACTTCTAGTTAGGTATATGTTATTCCCCATATGCTCCTATTAGGGACCTGGATGATCTTGGCAAAAAGGAATTTTATTTAGGTCAAGGTCAAAATAAAGGTAGAATCAAATTTTTGCAAGTTGCCAGGAGTTCAAATCTGACCTTAGATATGAGATCTGCCCCTGATAGACCTTCAGTGACCTTTGAGAGGTCAAAAAGCTGATTTCAAATTGACTTTTGGGGATTCAAGGTCAGATGAATCACAAAAGACCAAATGAGGTCTGAATAACTAAAAACTTCAAAGTTCAAGGGTTTACTCTAGTAGCTCATGCTGGTTGAGTATGCACTTCTATGTCCAGAGATTTTCTCTTCAGAAATCATCTATGTGAAGGTCATTGATCAATTTTGGCTTGGTAACATATTTGCCACTGAAGGCGAAATAGGTCAAATGGCCACGCCCTTTTTTATGCGAATACTCCCCCCCCCCCAATTTTTGTATCTCCGGAACCGTTAGACATAGAAGGTTGTGTGACCACTCAAAATGTTCGGAATGGCCATATTATAGGGGGTCAATAATACATGTGTATTTAAAAAAGTCAATGGTTCTCAAGATATTTGCCAAAAACTGATTTTAGCATGTTACGCACAACAGTTTTCATCTATCCTGCATCATTTAAGACTGAATCCGCAGCCTCTATCTAGTCAGATCAGCGAAGGAAACAAACTTTTTGGTTGTTGAGTTGAAAATTAAAAATTTTTAAATGTATAATCATATTCCTACATCTTATTAGTATAATATTATGACAAAGCAAGAGTACATACGAGGCCCGATCAGAAAGTAAGTAACCAAGTGCTCTTATTTTTCCATACTTTACTCAATCACATTGAAATTTTCACAGATGATGTAGAAAATATTGACCTATTAAACAAGATCAAAGGAAATAGGCTTGCATCAATTTCATTGTTATGGCTGTTGCTATGGTGACAATTGTTTTGGGTAGGCGGGGCACTCTTTTGTAAGTGGCGTTTGAAGATACTTTGTAGAGTTTTTCTACATGTTTACATGTCTACATGTTTACATCAAATTTACACGTATGACTACATTTAAATTCCTAGCTCTCCCAAAATAATCGCTACCAAAGTCAATGCAGTTAAGGCAACGTTTCACTCTGTCCTTAAAGACGTGCATCAGGTCACCATTCAATGAATGCAAACTGCCATTGAAAGCTTTAATGACGGCTTCATTGCTGTCAAAAATGGATTCCATGTAACAACATCTATGCATTTGGAAAGAGGGTTATGTATTAGTTGCATGGGGCCAGGTCTGGGGACTAGGGAGCCTGAAGAAGTTGTGTGGCCATGGAGAAGGCTTCATCTACTGCATCTTCGGTAATGTGAGCTCTTTGGGGTGCAAGCCAGGAAAATCCCCTTTCAAACACATTTGACTTGACTGAAACTGTGACTGAACTGCGACCATCATTATGACACATATGTCCTGGATTTCTTTGTGTCGATGACTCATAAATGAGAGAATGGAATGTAGTTACCATTGTGATAATCACATAAAACATATTATGCAGTCTTGCATAAAAATGTGAGGTCATTTGGAGGTATACAATATAAAAAAAACTCTATAAATTATTTTTCAAACCCGCATTCAAAAGGGTGCCCGCCTACTAGAGGTGTCAAGTATTAACCGGTTAACCGGTTAACCGCCGATAATGCCTTGACCGGTCTGAGTTTTTATGGGCGGTTAGTTGACCGTGTATTATTCTGTTATTTCCCGCGCTTATTTTGCATGCTAATCCGTTTGGTTTTATGGTGTCAGTTTCACGTAAGCTACTCATACATGTCATATGTCCCATAACTCCTTATTACAAACATCCAATCAGCAACTTTAATCCCTGCCACATTGCTTTCCCGCGATTACTTTGCATTTTAATCTGTTTGTTTTTCAAGCATCAGTTTCATGTGAGCTACTCATACATGTGATAGGTCCGATAATTCCTTACAAACATCCAATCAGCAACTTTAATCCCTGCCACATTGCTTTCCCGCGCTTACTTACATAGAATAGCGTAAAGCTTGACGAACGTAAAAAAATAAACGCCGATATATCATTTTTCCAATTTTTTCAACTTTCAAGATCGAAGATGAAGATTTCATTTGAAATTTTAAGTTCAAATTTCCCGCCGGTTAACCGACTTTAACCGGTAAAAACCCCCGGTTAACCGGTTAATGCTCAAGCGGTTAATTGACACCACTACCGCCTACCCAAAATAATCGTCACCTTAGCAACACACATAACAATGTAATTGAGGCTAACCCATTGTCATTGATCTTATTAAAATAGGTTAATATTTTCTGCATCATCTGTGAAAATTTCAATGTGATTGAATAATGTATGAAAAAATGAGAGCAGTTGGTTACTTACTTTCTGATCGGGCCTCGTACACCATTTTGAGTTTATTTGAGATACATATGCTCCATATTTTGGAAGTTATTAAGGTGACATATGGTCACCCCTGGGACGTCAGAAGCCAAAATGAGAATTAATAATTTCTAAAATGTACAATCATTTTTCTACTTCTTATTACTAATATTATGACAAAGCAAGAGTACATACACCATTTTGAGCACATTTGAGATACACATGCTCCATATTTTGGAAGTTATTAAGGTGACATATGGTCACCCCTGGGACGTCAGAAGCCAAAATGACAATTAATAATTTCTAAAATGTACAATCATTTTTCTACTTCTTATTACTAATATTATGAAAAAGCAAGAGTACATACACCATTTTGAGCACATTTGAGATACATATGCTCCATATTTTGGAAGTTATAAAGGTGAGATATGGTCACCCCTGGGACGTCAGAAGCCAAAATGAGAATTAATAATTTCTAAAATGTACAATCATTT